TGTCGGCCGGGTTCATGCTGGGCTCGGAGTCCGGCAGACTGTGCCTCACCAGAACACCGGGACGAAAGAGCAAGCTCACCTGGTCTGCAAGAGCCTTGCATTGCCTCGGTGCTGGTGGGCTTGCCTCCAGGCGTCCGGGCCGCTCGGTCCTGACCGCTGGCTGTTTCCTACCTTCTAATCAAAATGCCAACACAATCAAGTGTCAAAGAAGGGTCTGTTTTAATCCACATTTTTAGTTGTTTTCGGCATGAACGTGTGGTGGCCAGTCTTGTGCACTGTCCCTGGGCAGGTAGAATTCTCCTTCGTAACCTTGCTACAATGTTTCATCACTGAGCAGTGGTACCTGGTGAGGGAGGTGAGCAGGGCTGCCTTCTCCTTGGTGTTTGGTCTCCTTGAAGAACTCTTTCCTTGACTCAGCCTCCCAACGTCACACATATGATAGATCCTCTTGCTTTTCTCATGTGAGTTCACGAATATGGAAGAACTTGTTTTCATTCTTTTCATAGACAGCTGTGACTATGGACAGAGACGGCTTTTGGTCTCATGAGCGAGGCAAGGTTTTTATGTTTCTGATATTGTATATAAAATATGCAAAATAAGCCATCTCTCTGTCTCTACATATCTACATATATTCTCTCACATATAACCATCACTCTCTTTACATATATGTTCATATATATAGCCATCTGTCTCTTTTTTTCTAAAGATTTTTTTTTATTTGAAAGTCAGAGTTACACAGAGAGAGGAGAGGCAGAGAGACAGAGAGAGAGAGGTCTTCCATCCGATGGTTCACTCCCCAATTGGCCGCAACGGTCGGAGCTACGCCGATCCGAAGCCAGGAGCCAGGAGCTCCCTCCAGGTCTCCTATGTGGTGCAGGTCTCTCCTTGGGTCATTTTCTACTGCTTTCCCAGGCCATAGCAGAGAGCTGGATGGGAAGTGGAACAGCCGGGTCTCGAACCGGCGCCCATATGGGATGCTGACGCTTCAGGCCAGGGCGTTAACCCACTGCACCACAGCGCTGGCCCCGCCATCTGTCTCTATATATGTATACTCTCATATATTATATATAAATAATACAGTGACCTATATATAGTGTCTCTCAGTGTACACAAACACAAACCATCTCTCTCTATGTATATGTAGTTGGCAGACCCCTGTGTTAATCCATCCCCCCATTTGCCGTATTTCAGCTTCCGTTCATTCTTGGAGCTGGTTTCAGGGGACCCCATTCTGCTCCACTCACCTCTACTTTGCCAGCTCCAAACCCCACCCTGTCGTGACAATGGCTGTTTTCACAACGAAGCGACATGTGCCCACGGAGGGGTTAGAAAGCACAGGGTCCACTTTTGGGACAGAAAGGGAGGAACACGCGAAATTCACACTCGAGTGCCTGATGCCCCTGACATGAAAGAGAGGCGTGGAGACCCAGAGCACGCACGGAGTGTGTGCCTCTGCTGTGCACAAGCAAGCGCCGGACCGTGGAATGGATTTTGTTGGCTAATTGGTAGCTGTGGACGGAGCTGTGTGCGCAGGAAACACCCAGAGACTGGTTCTGGGACGCTTCTGCCAAACAGATCAGTGAACTGTGCAGCCCAGGGGCTGGGGGGGGGCATTGCGGGGGTGGCGTGTTCTATGGGTGGAGCAGGCGGTGGCCGGAATATAACGCCACCTGATGAGCGGGCTTCTCTTATGGGTCCCCGGGCATCTTCCTTGAAATGCTTTATTTACTGCGCGCATGCTGCTGCTCGCACACAAAACAGCCACTGCTACCGCCAGGACGCACTGTCTGCCCGCATGGAGGAGCTAGCCATCTCATTTTCCCTAAGAAAGCTGGGTTTGGCCAGATCGCCTAATACCAAAATACTGTTCTTTCTACTGTATGCC